TCACGCGGCGATTCTTGGAGAGCGCAGACGTTCGTGAAATCGTCGAATTTCCCCGATTTATGTTCCGTTTAACACCGTTTTGCGAAAAACCTTTGGAACGAGGAGGGGGAGAGGGATCTCTCGGCCGTGGGAACGCGCGTGTCTGCACGTTTCGACTTTCCAGGAAAAAGTTAACGGCCTGCTAATTACCCGGGTGTCTAATAGGAAACGCGATCCCATCGAGTCATCTCTTTAGGAGATTCGTAAAAAGTTTATAATAGCGACAAGTTTTCTTTCCTTCCGTTCTTACCGCTTTGCATCCCGCTACTCGCGAACGTGAAATTTCTCAATTCGATCCGAGACGATTCTTCTCTTTCTCTTTCTTTTTCTACGAAGAGAAAAAGAGAAATTTAAATTTAAATATAAATTTGCAGATATCTTTTTAATCCGACAATATTTTTATTTCTAAATATTGAATCGAGTATAATTTCAATTTGGTTTCGTTCAAGTTTTCAATGTAATAAGTTTTAAATATAAACGAGTCAGTTTGTATATTATTTATTATTACTCGCGAACGTGAAATTTCTCAATTCGATTCGAGACGATTCTTCTCTTTCTTTTTCTACGAAGAGAAATTTAAATTTTCTATAAATTTGCAGATATCTTTTTAATCCGACAATATTTTTATTTCTAAATATTGAATCGAGTATAATTTCAATTTGGTTTCGTTCAAGTTTTCAATGTAATAAGTTTTAAATATAAACGAGTCAGTTTGTATATTATTTTAATTCTAAATTAATTCTTTTGATTTTGCGCATTTTTATCGTACGTTCGTCATCTCGGATAAAAAGAGATAACAACGAAATAAGATTCGATTCCCCAAAGATTGCAAGAAAATTATCGCGTAACAATAATTCGTTTCGATTGGAAATTCGACATTTCGTGGACACGTGGAAGAAAGTTAAGTTATAAATCGATAACGCGCGGGATAACGATCGGGCTTCGATTCGAGGCTCGTTATCCCGGATGGAACGAATTTGTGGAAGGCGCCAACCGCGGAGAGAGGCGGTTTGTCCCCGCGCGATCGAGCCGGGTTTGGTACGTGATAATTTCGGGGTATAAATCTCTTTTGGTGGGGAAAGTGCCGGTTTAAATTGCACCTTGTACACTATCGGCGGGTAAACGGGTTATTTTTGGTAACTCGTCATTTCGGGGCATAAACTTCTCTCGTCGAAAGAAAATTAGACGGTATGCGCGAAACTTTCGCTTTAAGAAAAAATAAAGGAACGAGGGAATAATAATCCTCGAGGATTAAATTAACGAAACGAAACGGGAATAAATGGAAGAGAAAATGGACAATGTAAAATATAGCTTTTCCAATAAAAAATCGTTTAAAAATCCCCCCGGATGAAACGATAAACGAAGATAGATAGATAGATAAATAAACAATATATATATATATATAAAAACGAGAATAATTATATGGTGAAGTTATCACCAAGTGAACAAGTGGGAATATACGTATATAGTACAAAAAATGGACAATCCTTTAAAAATCCCTCGATAAACGAAAATAAATAGATAAATAAATAAACAATATAGAGATATAAAGAAAGAGGAGAATAATTATATCAGAAAATAAGTAAATGGGAATATACGTATATAAGTATAGTACAAAAAATGGACACTAAAATCGTTTAAAAATTCCTCAATGAAACGATAAACGAAAATAGATAGATAAATAAATAAACAATATAAAGATATAAAAGAAGAGGAGAATAATTATATGATGAAATTATCAGCAAGTGAAAATATACGTATATAAGTATAGTACAAAAAATGGACACTAAAATCGTTTAAAAATTCCTCAATGAAACGATAAACGAAAATAGATAGATAAATAAATAAACAATATAAAGATATAAAAGAAGAGGAGAATAATTATATGATAAAATTACCAGCAAGTGAAAATATATAGGTATAGTTCAAAAAATGAACAATAAAAAATCCTTTAAAAATCCCCTAATGAAACGATAAATGAAAATAGATAAATAAATAAACAATATAAAAATATAAAAGAAGAGGAGAATAATTATACAATGAAATTATCAGCAACTAAAAATATACGTATATAGGTATAGTTCAAAAAATAAACAATAAAAAATCCATGAAAAATCCTCCAATAAAACGATAGATAAATAAATAAACAATATAAAAGTATATAAAAAGAGGAGAATAATTATATGATGAAATTATCAGCAAGTGAAAATATATAGGTATAGTACAAAAAATGGACAATCCTTTAAAAATCCCCCCATGAAACGACNCGAAAATAGATAGATAAATAAATAAACAATATAAAGATATAAAAGAAGAGGAGAATAATTATACAATGAAATTATCAGCAACTAAAAATATATGTATATAGGTATAGTTCAAAAAATAAACAATAAAAAATCCATGAAAAATCCTCCAATAAAACGATAGATAAATAAATAAACAATATAAAAGTATATAAAAAAAGGAGAATAATTATACAGTGAAATTATCAGCAAGTGAAAATATATAATAGGTATAGTTTAAAAAATGGACAATAAAAAATCCTTTAAAAATCCTCCAACTATAAACGAAAATAGATAGATAAATAAATAAACAATATAGAGAACGTACAAAGAACGAGGAGAATAATTATATGGTGAAGTTATCAGCAAGTGAGCAAGTGGAAATATACGTACAGTAATCTGGCGATTGCATTAATTTCCGCGTTCGTGTACGTCACGAAAGGTTGGACGCAACAGCTTGTTCGTGATCGCGATTCGTGGAACTATTCGAATCGTTGGAATTGGTTATACGCGACGATCGCGTTCCTTAGAAGTTTAACAAGGCCCCCCCTTACCTGTTGTGGAACTTGTATCTGTAGTCATCCGCGGCGACGATGTCCAGCAGGAGGATATACTTGGCCTTCGCGTCCAATCCGGAAACTCGGAACTTCATTTGAGGGAACATCTGCCTGGAACCGGTCAACGGATACAGTTCGATTAGATTTCTCGTTCAAACCTATCACATTAAACTGATTGATTAATAGTCGTTGATCGAGACAATTTCTT